AGCACCTTAACAAGATTCTGCAGAACTCAAGTGTTCAGAATGAAACCAGTCCTTACATGCAAACAAAGATCTTACAATTTTCTATTGCTCTTGTCTGATGAAACTACTTTGACTGTTTGGCCGTAACAGCGATCATATTGGTTGGAGAAGAAAAGAGTTTGCAAGTATAGGAACACCAACCCAGCATGGTGGAGGTGCCATCAAGCTGTGGGCTGCTTGTTGTGGGACTTGGGGAGAAATTTAATTTGAGCGGAAAAAGGTTTTTAATGTGTTTGAAATATAAAATTCTGATAAATATTTATAAGATACTTCAAATTAAAATTTCCCCGCCGTGGAATCAATAAAGTCTGATCTTATCTTTTATTAAACATTAGTTTTGTCAGCATCAACAGTTATGGGGGGGTTACAAAACCTTTCCAAAGACTTTTAAAGAAAATTTAACTCACTAACAGTTATTACCAACTGACACTGTCCCTCCTGATTCCAAACGTGGAACGTAAGCAGATGTCCACATGTAAGACGTGAATTGTCGGAGAAGAAATTATTAGAAATAAGAAGTTAAAGGTTTGTGATAAAGTCTCAAGCTAAAGATAGACTTTTTTTTTTTTATTATCCATTTGCTTTAATCCTCTGTGGACCTCGCACACCCAGGGGCGTATAGTACAATCGTTGAACAATAGATTTTAAAGACAGCAAGCATTTGTAATTGAATGTTTTAATTTCAAATATGAAGAATTAAATAAGGAACCTGTACTTTGTTAGTGGCTATCACAAAGCCCTAAACTCAGATAGAAATTTAAAACGAAGAAGAAGGTGGCTGCCTGAAACTTTGAAGTCAACACGACCAAAGGTTAACAAAATGTACATAAACTGGTGATGCAGTAGGATTATTATTAAAGTTTCCCTGACCCAAAACAGGGGAATAACAGAATTAAATATCCATGGAAAACTAAGTTAAACTATAATTAGGAAAATGAGTAGTCTCAAGTTCTTCAATAGTCCTTCAAGGCTTCTCGAAGAACATTCAAAGCTCTTCTTTGGATGTTGGCTGCATTTCTTCTGTTCTCTGTAAAGATGACCGAACACTGCTACAATAATGTTCAGGTCCTTGCTCTAGGGAGGTCAATCCATAAATAAACCATTGACAATCGGATGCTTACCCAATAGTATGGCATGGATCACCAGAATCTGCCCTCTTAGATCCATCAAGTTCAACAAGATCCTCAACACCAATGACTGTAATGCAGCCCCAAACCACGACAGAGCATCCAGTGTGTTTTACAGACGGCTGCAAACAGTCATTATTGTAACTCTACACAATCGACACATATTGAAACTTCAAATTTCGATCAATTATTCTGCAAGACCTGTTGTTACTGTTTTTAAGATAAGATAAGATAAGATAAGATAAGCTTTATTAGTCCCACACGTGGGAAATTTGTTTTGTCACAGCAGGAAGTGGACAGTGCAAATGTTATATAGCAAAAATTAGAATACAATAAGAATAAAATAGTGTACACAACTGTACAGAATAGAATAAAATAATATATACAGTAGAATAAAATATACAATAGGATAAAAATAAAATACAAATGCTTTATACAACTGAGTAAAAATACAACTTTGTCAGAAAAAGAGTATTGCACTTAGTGTTATTGCACATGTGTGGATGTGTGTGTTTGATCAGTTGGAAGTCCAGTTCTTGTGTCATTATGCATACCTCAGTCTTTTCTCCCATCTTACTTACAGTTTATTTGCCATAGACAGATTTTTAGGCCTTCTTTTGTCCTGCACTAGTCCAGCTTCCTCCATATACTTAAGAATAAACAGTACACCTTGTAGAGATATGCTAAGCGTGCAGCTAATTATTGTTTAGGAATCACTTTGTTGGTGCAAAAATAATATTCTGTCTCAGTCAAACCGTTATCTTTGGGATTTTTTCCCCTAGAAGGCTGCTAGTAACAAAGCGCCTAAAGATGCAAATCAAGTTTTCTGTCATGTGCAGACAACAGTAGTGCGTCCCTTGTTTTGGGTGGTTTTTTAATACTTGGATGATTCATAAGTCAGCATTAAGTGGCTCCAAAAATAAAAATCCCCTGAAAATTTCCATGTGAACAAGAACTGGACTGAAAATGAGTGAAAAGGATGTGCAAAGAAAAACCCAGAAAGCCTGGAGACCTAATGTTAAGACCACTCTAAAACAAAAGAAATGAGGGGTGCTTCAAGGCTTTTGCACAGTAGTGAAGAAAAGAACAACAACAACGACCCCCTTCTTCATGTTGATTTTTGGCCCTCAAAGCTAGAATAGGGACTCCATTTTGGCACACCCCTGTCACAGAAAGCTGCTTTTACCAGCATTCACCGAGCCTTGTATGGCAGCATTGTCTGTATGCTAAACACGGCCTCAGACCACAGGCTCTCCATGAAAAACTATCAGCACTTTGACCGTGTTAACAAAGTAACACAGCGCCGATTCCAAGCAAATGTGGAATCACAGCAGCAGTACGTTTACCGTTCCACTTCAAGATGATTAGCCTAGGGTGATGTGGCTTCAGTATCACTTTTAATGCTGGACCCACTGACACAGGAGCGCTGACAGCTGAACATTACACTGTACGAGAGTGGCCTGTTCTGCTATTAGCGAAGTTCACAGTCAGACAAGCAGCACCACAACCAGTCTGGCAGCACTGTGAAACAAAGAGAGATCTCCGTTTTTTTCCACTTATCAGCAGAGTTTTTCTTCTGATGCCAGGATGAAGCTTTTAAAAGAAGCTGGAAAAGACAAACGTAGCAGCCTTAGAAAAAACGGATTAACTTTAATGAGCCCCGTAGGGAGGTTCATCCTAGCAGTTGACCCCCTGGGTTGTATTAAAGCAGTCCTGAAAAAGAACCTAAAGCTTTGGTATTTTGATCAAGGGCGACTGAAAGAGTATGTCTTATACTTTTAATGCATGCCAGTCAACCACCACCCTACAATAAAAGAGCGTGGCGTACAAATAAAGATCTACATAAAAGCCAACCACTGGGTTTGTCAGCTGTTTAGGACAAAATAAGCAAATTCCATTGACTTTAGCCTCTTCTCTATTACACATTACTAACTAATGAGAGAAAAATCATAAATATTAATAAACAGAGTTTAACTCCATTCAAACCCAGCGTTCTTAGAGACGGGTACCCTGAACGCAGCTGGTGGTCAGCGATGATTTCCCACACTGATAGACTGTCGAGGCTGATACTCGAGTGCAACAGAATCACAGTTTTTATTCACAGCCAAGATGAGCCATTTCACCCAGAGACCACTTAAGCCCAGTGTTCTGAAACATTAGACGCTCAGCAGCCATTCAGCCTTCATTTCACCTGCTCAGATGTGCTCACCAATCGGCTGTACTAATGTGGAAATTGTTCCAGCTTCCCTTCCCTTCATCATGACCGACTTGTGAGCACGCATAACACAGCAGGCCTCCCGCTGGCTCTGCTTTATGACCTGGCAAGACTGATCACAAGCAGAGGCAGCATGACACAGTATTAAATAAAATGCTCTGGACTCCCTTTACGAAAAAAAGAGACGAAAATCCGCTGCCTACAGGGTGGACCCGACTCACATGTTCTTAGCTGCACAGACACGCTAGCTCATCAGAACAAGATCACCTTGCTTAACAGCGAAAAGAAAGAAAGCAGAAGTGTAAAATTACTTCAAGAGGTCACATTTGAGCTCTGTCAAGGAAAAAAATGATTTGGGGAACAAGATGTTTTTCTAATTCGGTGCTTGCTAAATGTCATAGCTGAAGGATGAGCAGAAGGGCGCGATGCTATGGAAAGTGATCAATAATATAGTCGTGACTGATTCCGAGTGAAACTGTCATCAAGTACTGCGGGATAATTTCCAGATCAGAGGACAAACTCCAGTAATGCAAAGTGACAGTAAAATGGGAACAGAGGACGGGCACAGCGGTAATAATTGCCAGTTTACAACTTTCGAAAATGTGCAGCTTTGGCATTCACACACTCGCACACAAACTAGTGGCACTCATGGTTTAAATCAGAGTTAAAGAAAGCCAACACGGATGTGGGGGGCGATTGAGAGATGATGCAATAATGGGTTTGTCAAGTGGTACCTTCCTCCCACCTCTCACTAACCTGGGCAGCTCAGCTATAAAAGCACAAAGTGCTTCAGTGCCCCCCCCCCATCCCATACTTTGACCCTGAGCTGCTGCTGTCCTGGCATCAGCACACAATATCAGTTATCTGAACGTTTCAGTGGGCCAAACATCATGCAGGCAGCTTTTCAAAGAGTCCCGTGAGGCTGAAGAATGCAAAGCGTCTCACCTACTGGCCTGAAAAAGTGGGACACTACCAACAGAACAGCAGTCTGGTTTAGTCAGAGATAAATTACTTGGTTAGATTGAAAGAAAGAAAAAACAGAGGCTAGCAGAGAGTGCACTGTGGCTACAAGTCAAAATGGTTTTGAGGGGCAGTCTGTCTGTCTGTGCTGTCAGATTTTCTAAAGAATAATGTCAGACTACAGAGGAAACATGCAGCCCGGCTACTCCTCATGGTTCTGTCCTTTCTGATAGCTGATCTTAGTCAAGAAATGGTGTGTACGAAAACAGGCTGATGATCTGCGTGAATGAGTGGCAAGATGGGACACTAATTCGGATTAAAAAGCTCTGAAGCTCAATGTTGGTCAAATGTTAAATACCACATTCACACAGGCATAGCCGTCCAACCCACACACTTGAACCATTGAGCAAACACATGCTGCATTTAAACAAGGAGGACTGTGGCCTTTGGGGGGAACCGCTTCGCTTGTAGCTGGGGCAGAGGTAGTAGCAGACCGGTACTTGAACGCCTCGAGTGTGGGCTGCTCGCCATCTCCAGACAAGGACTGTCAGGTCTGAATTAGCAAACATTTGGCGCAAAACAAGGCAGACGTAGACTCCACATTCAGCTTATGTCACTGCTAACAGTAGGCTATAATCTGCCAGTGTGTTTTACATTACCTGAATCGCCCTCCGCAGTGCTGGCATTGGTCCCCAACCCAGCCGGGGAAACATACACATTCGCCAGTGGCGGTGTTACACTGGCCGTTCATACACGGCTTATCGCACTCCTTGGCCTCGGTGAAGCCAGGCAAGCCGGACAGCAGCCCGATAACCGAGAGAAGGAGCGCGGTGGTCAGCATCAGCGAGCTCCGGTCCCGACCAGAGCCCGAGCAGGCCCGCCGCGTCGCCCCGTACATTCTCTCACAAAAGATGGCTGCTAGAGGCAGGCGCTCCGCTGACTTCGGAGGTAGCGAGCCGACGAGCTACCTGTTGATGTAGTTCCGTTTATTGGACCAGAGGTACGGTTTCCCTGGAGGGAAGGTTTAGTGTCTTCGCTGAACCTGGTTTCTGCCGGTTAGTTGGTTTACATCTTTCCAGTGGTTGTGTTTCCCAGCGCCGCACCAAGCCGCATATTTACATCCAGAAGTGACGTCACGACAACGGAAATGCGCAACGGAAGGAGGCAGAGCGCGCAGGGCTTTAAACTTTTATGTTGGAAGACAGGAAAAGTCCTTTCGTTTTCTCAGACAGCTCCTTAGCAGCTTTCTCTTATTATTTTTTTTCTCTAAAATAATCACCGTCGTCCGTTTGCTGCTCGTGTTCTAAGCGTAGTTCGATGTTTATTTTAATATTTTTAATACAAAATAATAATATATAAGAAATATGACCTCCTTCCTCCGCTCCCACTACAGGACATAGTTCACATAAAATCAGACTATTTACGATTTAGCTATTTAGCTTAAACTTTATAGTCATGCGTCACTGAATATGAGGAAAAGTGTATACCACTATGACTGTTGTAGTACTATAACTAGACTTTCCATGATGCTTTGCGCACACAACAGGACACCGTTTTTAGTTATAGCTTGTGAAACCAAGACTATTAACCTTGAATTCTAATCCGAGATGCAGAATCTCACAAATCATCTTACATGTTGTGGTAGAGAGACAAGACACTGAAGGCAGAATCCTAAACCATAAGTGAGCCTTTGTATATCTGATAAATGGTCCCAAACAAAATGCAAAAGTTTCACTTGGATTTATAATCCAAAGAAAAAGAAGTCCAAAAGAAATGTAAAGACCAGATGGGCAGAATGCCTCCTGCAAGCTCTGCTTTATGATGTAGACACACCATAATACTTCCACTTAAGCTTCTCCATTCTTTCTCTGTGTCCAAACAGCTGTACTTTTCATCTCTCATAATCTTTCTCTCGGCTGTCCTTCATGTTCTTCTGTCTATAACCTCATAGTCAATTACTGTGCAGAGTTCTAGCGATTGTGTTTTTTGAGACTACAATTCCCATCATTCACTCATGTCTTGGCAGATGTTCTGGGGTTATTTGCCATTTTTCTCTGGCTAGTATTCTTTCCAGAGTCTTTGAAATGTTCTTCTCCCTACCTCTGCCATGCTCATTCTGTACAGTGTGGCTCTCTTTGAGTTTCTTGGTGACACTTCTCT